GGGTCATCCACCCGTTGGAAGATTGGTACTTCTGTGCTTGGCTCCTCCAGCCAAACCACATCAAAGAATCCTTGACCAAGATCCTGAGTTGCCCCAAAGGCATCCGTCACAGTATGAGGTAAACAGCACTTAGTCATAGAAAAAAGTGCTTAAATGAATGTGTGTGCAAATGGGTGAATAAGGGTTGTAGTAAGGAAGCACTTTGAGTGTTCAAATACAGTAGAAAAATGCTATATGTGTACCAGTCCAGTATTTTCAAAGCTGATCTCTGCTGGATTTGTTTTTGATTTATTGTTCTGGATACATTTCCTCCCAAATTTGTAACTGGTCTGTTCTCTATTAGATTTAAATGGTAGCCTACAGAACTAGCGAGGTTAGTTTAGACAGGGTGCCTTAGGGTGGAATCAAATAAATCATAGTTTTAAAGCTGTCCTGGTGCTCACTGTTTGGTGAAAGAGGAGCAGAGGTCTGTCCAAGAAATCTGTCTTCCAGTTTTGATGAGTGAAGTTTTATTATTCCATTAGTATGTTGTTTAGTACTAATTAGCAGGTATCCAGTGTCTGCCCAGTGCACCAATATAGTTAGTGGTTGCAGTTTGCTAAACAGGCAAGAGATGGCTAACAAGCCCCACTTTTAATAACATGCTGGCGAGTGGCTGCATCCATGATTGTTATTACACTTTCAAACTGGTTGGGTTTATATAGAGAGTGGTAGAGTTGTAGAACAACAACATTCCCAGAAGACTAGGCTATTTGTGTTATAAGCAAGATAGACATGATTATAGTCTACATACATACTTACATTCTACATTTGTTCCCCAGTGATAATATCTTTGAGCAAACCAAAGGACTGTGTTTACAGACTTTTATGGTTGTGGTGTCATTGCTACAATGTGTAACTAAATTTCTGTGTACTAGATTTCATGCAGAAGTAGAAGTTGAACATTGCATACAACGGTATTTTCAGCAGTGACAGGTTTACTTTCAAAACTCAAAGTAATCATTTATGAAACAACAAGAGGAGCATTGTCTGTGATGACCTTAAGAACAACAGCTGAACACTGAAGTTAGACCAATGAGTTTCTTTAGCTGAATCATTTAAAAAAACTAGAAACATATAAAAGGCGCTTTGATATGCACACAGTTATCAGCATGCCTATTATGATGATGTTCACAGATTCATGATAAAGCTGCTAACCCAGGCATGATAGTCAGCATCCCCCACTGATGTATGTAATAGACATAGTGTCAGGTTTGGAGCCAGGTGGCAGATCACTCAGACAGACACGGTTGCAGTTAAACAGGTTTATTTACAGCGAGGACGAATATCAAACATAACACGTACATGAGATTGAATGGAAAACTCAAACTATCCAGAGGGGGAAGAGGAGAGAAGGAAGTTAGCGACCGATAGCAACAGAGCTGAGGAGATACGGAAATGTTCAATTCAATTCAATTCAATTTTATTTATATAGCGCCAAATCACAACAAA